CATGTATGTGCTCAGTTGATACAACATTTTACAATTTTCATGCATCTTGGGACTCGCAAGTTTTGAAAATGATGAGTCCAGACTGATTATGATGAGTCCAGGACTCGCCTAAGTCAGAACCCGGGGCTCGACAAAAAAATTGAGAGACAAGTTGAACCCCGTCTGACAACACATGTAAACCTTTGATCCCATACATGTATACCAAATATAGTTATGGTATTACTTATAATATGCCACAAATTCACTTGATAAAATCATTACACATGTAGTTTTTTAAGGAGCTCTGAACAATGAAAATGGAATAAGGACAATGGACATATGTCTTGACAGAAACTTCTAAACATAAGGATTCCTTATACATTATCATGATTATGATTTTAAGTATGAAAAATCCATGATTTCTACCCTCTGAAATATAAAACTTCATATAAATAGTAAATGTTGTTGTCCGATTAGCATTTCATGTCTTGCATGTCTTGTATTCTGAAACTTTTGTCACAGACAGGACATAACTGGAGACCTTGGAGGAATTAAGCCTACTTATACATGTTATAAGCCTCATGGTGATAGTCATTAATTTATCTGGAGGAAAATGAACAAGGAAGATACAAAAAGTGAAGGTAGACTAGTCTTCAGTTCCAGAACAGACATAGTTGTCAGAATTTTTTTTTTTAATTATCTGGTTTATCCGTTCAAATAAAGACAGAAGAAATCTATCTATTACTAAAATATAACTGTTCTGAACTGCATTTTATTTAATGAACATATAGCACTGTCAACATGTACAATGTACCTGACAACAACCAAGCAACAATCTTTTAGTTCACAAGTACAACAGCTTGATCCATATGTGATCCAAAATGTGCAGAATGCTATTATGGTGGGAGGTTCAAATTCACTTTATACTTCTCTACTTTGAATATTATATCCTATATCACCTTCATTGCTGGTGATCATCATGTCATGTACATGTAGAACTTATTTTTAAACTTCTATTGGAAACCAGATTGGTCAAATATGTCTTCATAACGAGTTGAAAATATGGAATGTCTTGGACTAGGTACCGTGGCTTCCAAAGATTTAAAGATTGTCTGATGGCCTTAAATCTGTATGGTCATGATGGTATATGACTGTTACATGTATAAATGAAAAAGTCTTTTATATCTCTGCTTTTGTACAGACATCATTGACATTTATATTAGCAAACAATTTGCATTTCCTGGCATATCTATTTGTTTGGCGGCTGAACATTCATGTTTTTCACATCCTTTTTAGTTTTCTGATGAAAATGCTGTTGCTTCCAGTTGATACAGATTCTATAGCTGAGCCTGTGTCTGGCCATTTCTTTATGTCTAGCATGTGTGTGAATTATTCACAGTGACTCTAAATTGCATTTCCCCAAACTTTCTGTGTCTGATTCCTTTCAATGAAGCTATATAGACCAGGGAAGAATGTCTGCTCCTGAAATATCAATTTAAATATATTTATGGAATATTCTGATTTCAAAACAATGCTGACTTCATCATAAAGCTTATTTATTTAAGATTATTTAACATCCGTTTCAGAGGAACTCATTTAATTTTTGTCTTTAATAATTATTACTAGCTTTTCCAGACTAAAAGATGAAGAAAAAATGTACATGCATGTTTTTTTAGGGTTTCCCTACCTCCATGTACATACCCTGTTACTTAATACTAGTGTTTATTCAAACACATTTTAATTGATATGTTCCTCTGGTTAATGACAGAATGTTTTATTGTCCTTAAATAAATGTTACTTACAGATATACATGTAGGTTATCTAAAAGTAAATTTATAAATTGACACTGTGAATCCATTTCTAGGATCCACATCTTCTTATCTTTGAACATTTTTTGGGGAAATAAAAACACTGGCCCTTGAGTAATCCTTTTTGGGATTAGTCCTTGAGGTGTGGATTCCCTAATCAAATTTGTACGTACATGTATTAATTATCAGAATCTGTACACAAATCTTTAAACTTGTATTTCATTTCATTTCACATTTTTTACTTTTTGTTTAGCATCATCATTTCCAGACATTAATCTTATAAGATACCTATTGATTTTGTTTGATGGTTGGTTGTTTTCTGAACAATTTAACATATATGTATGTACTATGATAGAGATAGCCTCGTCTGTCTTGTTCTTCTATATATTGATCAAGTATATGTATTGGACATGTTGAATTTAAAGATAGAGTATTCTATCAGTCAAGAGCATAATTACTTAATCAAGTCTTCAAAATTATTTATACTAGTAATGTTACAAATAAAAACAAAGCAGTGGCGGACCCAGAAATTTTCTTCATAATGGGGGCCTGTACAGCCATGCTTCAGTGATTCCCTATATAAACAACCATTTTTCCAAAAAAGGGGGCCTGAGCCCCTTGAGCTCCCCCTCTAAATCCACCTCTGCAAAGTTACTCAATCATGTAGTTAAAGCTAAATATTTGAGTATGAAAGACTACAATAAATGGGGAATGTGTCCATAGGACACAGATGATGCCCACTCTTGCAGATCATATAAAGTTATAAAGCGACATAACTGAAGAAAGGTAAAAGTGATGCTACCCAAATTTGTGCTTGATCTGAGTTTTTTTGGTAATAAGTATTGTGTATAAGTTTCATAACATTTGGTTGAGGCAAACTAAAGTTAGAGAATGGAAACGAAAAATTCAGCAATTTTACCATTTGTTCTGGAACGGTTAAAGTAACACTTTTTGCCTCTTTCAACTGATTTTTATAGTTCGTTCTTATATTGTACTGTTACACCACTGTCCCAGGTTAGGGGGAGGGTTGGGATCCCGCTAACTTGTTTAACCCTGCCACATTCTGTATGTTTGTGCCTGTCCCAAGTCAGGAGCCTGTAATTCAGTGGTTGTCGTTTGTTTATGTGTTATATACTTGTTATTCGTTCATTTTTTTAGTACATAAATTAGGCCGTTAGTTTTTCTGACTGTGCTATATGGGCTTTGCTCATTGCTGAAGGCTGTACGGTGACCTATAGTTGTTAATTTCTGTGTCATTTGGTCTCTTGTGTAGAGTTGTCTCATTGGCAATCATACCACATCTTCTTTTTTATATGTACATAAACAGGATGAAGTTATTTTTCTCACAAAGCATTAAACTAATATTTAATGAACACTGAAACACTAATTATCATTCTGACCCACTGTAGCCGAGTCCAAGAATAGTGAACAATTAATTTCTTTCTTGGCAGAAAATTTCCCCTAACAATTATCTGGAGCACCACATGATATCAACATGTATCAGTGTGTGACAGAAGTAAAAAAAGTATGCTGATATTAAAACTTCTTCTGCATGTGCTGGCATAAGTATACATGTATATCTTTGCAAGTACACAGTAGAATGTCATTAATAAGATGACATTATGATTTATATACTATTTCCAATGAATTTAGATTTATCTGATCCCATATCTTCATTGACTTTGTAAATTATAATTTTTTGGTAGGAGAATTAGGAGAATGAAGACTTGCAATGTATTTTCTGGGATATTGTCATGTTTTTTTAAAGTACACTGTGAATCCTCCACAAATATTTTTTTTAATAAACACTCGGAAGAAGTTGCCCAATGATAGAAAAATGTCAACCTTTATTAAAGGCTTTAATAATACTCTATTTTCGAGAATTTACCTTTGAATGCAGACTTGATTGTCGCCATATCGGGTAGCAGATATCTGGTATGTAAACTCTTTCCATATCCCGTTTGAAGCATGTTGGAAGCCTGACCATGCAATCTTTGATTTCCAAAATTTTTCTCTTCTCAAATTTCAATTCTTTCACTTTGTACTAAGGCAAAATTTCAGTTAATGCATTTTCTATGTTGTTTTTCCATTTCTACGTCGCCATCTTCAACATGTTCCTAGGTCGCGTTTATAAGGAGCATTCTGATTGGTCGATATAAATACTTTCTGGGGTCAAATATTACGTTATATAAGGTCACAAAAGTGAAACCTTGTAGGGTACTTGTTAGATCTTCGTATGTAGTATAACGTAGTATAACGAAATCCGAGATCTATATTTTAATTAGATTGATACACATTAATTAATTTATGTACATAATTTGACAAAAACATGTTGTTTTCAATATTGTCTTCAACAGCAATATGCAGTGCTGATTATCACTTTGATTCTAGGGAAATATGTAATATTGATGATTATGTTTTAATATAAAATAAGGAGATGTTGTATGATTGCCAATGAGACAACTATCTATCTACTAATTGACGTAAATGTTTTCAAAAGTCAATAAAACCACACTATTTACCTCATCAAAAGACAGTAATTTTATAATATACGTTATAATGTAATTCCTAACAATAAAGAGAATCGTAACAAAATTTGTACGAAATATGCATGCACCGGTCCACTCGTGTTTTGATAGGGTACTATCTTTCGCAGAGTTCTGTAGATTAAAAAACATATGTTTGACCGATGATAATGATGCAATATAACTATATCATGGATCAGCAGGAAAGTACAGGTGAAACAACAAAATTCATGACAATTGTACCAATAAAGAGGAAGACACAAAGAGGGCAATCAAAATTCATCTGTAATAACGAGGATAAAACAAACAAAAAAACGACGAAAAGACACAACAATAACAAAAAATTACCCAGAAAACTTAAGAGTGAGCAACACGAACTCCACCAAAAAACCAGTGGGTAAACGCAAGTGCTCTGGACTGAGCAGTTCTTGCTCCATAAAGAACCAAGTCTTAGATCAATTCACTCGAACAAAACAAGAACCCAACCAAGAAACCTACTGCATGTGTAAATGTTATAAAATGTTGAAATATCTTGATGTGTATATTGCGATCTATGTATAGCTTCAAATGTAAAACACAGATCAATAATGCACAAATGGCATTTCAAATGGCTGATTAGCAAACAACACACACTTAAATATAAAACATTTATAGTTAAACCTAAATTGAATAAAAAAGAATGACTTACCTTTTATCTTCACTATAAAATAAGTAGTTAACATTTGTTTTTATAGATTCATGAGGTTGATTAACACCTTCATCATGTTCATCAATAATACCTTGCTAAATAAAAGTCGACTACGTTAACTGACAGATCTATCCGGATGTAAATTGGATGGATGGATTGTTGTTTAACGTTCAGCGGCAAGTTTAACATACACATAAAGACGAGAACATATTGAAGTGATATAAGTATGAACCCTAGTACTCGTTATAACGTATCAGTTCACACGGAATTATCAATTACATTCAGGCGCAGATCTAGAATTTGATTGGGGGATGTTAGCGCGCTCCTGAGAATTAAGAATTAGATGTTGACCCAAAATTGGCTGTAATTTTCCTAAATTCTATTTTTTCATTTATATGATAAGAGCGACCCAGCCTGTTCGGCACTTGACATTTTATTTTTCACAAAGCCATACTTAGAGCATCGGGCAATTCTATTTTACTGAACACACAGGTAAATCATTAAATTTGTATTTAAAATGTATAATTGTTTGTCTGTATTGCTTGACCCTTATGGTGTAATTTTGCAATTTTGCAATAAAATTAAACAAATCGTCGAAATAAATGTTTATATAGTACATATAATGTTTATATATAAATAAACTCATTATAGTTACCAGGATTAAAATTGTGCACGCCAGACGCGCGTTTCGTGATCAAAAGACTAATCAGTCAGACAGTGACGCTCGAATAAAAAATAAACGTATAAAGGCCAAATAAAGTACGAAGTTGAAGAGCATTGAGGACCCGAAATTCCGAAAGGTTTTGCCAAATACAGCTAAGGTAATCTATTCCTGGGGTAAACCACCGTTAGATACTAATGTACATGTGATCATTGTAAACCTTGAGATTATTCCTTCATCAAAATGGTATCTGTCATATAGGCATAGGTGTTAAGTGTCGGTATCGATTAGTTTTCGATAATGAAATTCAAATGAAATATATAAATGTTGTTGATTTAAATCATAAATTAAGTATCTGAAACTAATCAGATTTGCAAATGTTTTACTGATGCGATTAAAATCACATGCAGTCGTAAATGCATCAGATATTTGTTACTGTCAGTCAAATCTAAGTTTAATCATGATTGATATATGTGCATATTTTGTCAAAAGAATATGATAGGGTTTGTACATTTGCTATTCAAATTATATGGATAGGTTGGTATTGGGCCTACCACAAAAGGGTTGAAGTGCCTCCTTCCCCTCGATCCGAAGCTCGTTAATAAGGTAACATTTCCTCGGGTTATCAGAAAGGCATGTCACCCTATCCGGATACATGTCATCATTCTGCTTCCTAGTCTTACAAGCAGCTTACTAATTATTTTCAACTGTTTGGTTTGACCCGGTTGGGATCTAACTGCCGAACTCTCGCAGGCGAGCACGCTATCAGGAGGTCCGGGTTTAAAAAAAACCTTGGATTTTCTTGTATGATAAACATATGATATCATTTCACATGTTTCAGGATAATTTCTTGCAGAAGGAATATATATCATATATGGAATGTGTTTGTTTGCAGAATCAGGCGTAAATGGATTAGTGGAAGGGTCGATCGGTTTTAAACTTTATAGTTAAAACATGTTAATTATTCTTAAACTAAACTTTCAAAATATTCGAACGTATGTTTGGAATTTTGTGGTGTCCACATCTGATCCAGACCGGGCTCTATCACCGCCACAGTTGCATTATTTCAAAATATAGGTATTCATGTCTAACTTTGAACATTTGAATACTTTGAAAGACATTGATACTTAATATTTCTTTGCCCAACACCATGTGCATGTCGTAAATAAGGTTGAAATGTCTGCACGGTCAAGGTCAATACTTTTTATACAAAAGCAGAATGTTTTATTGTGTATGCTTTGCTCACAGTACCTATAGTCTTTAAGAAAATGTAGCACAAGGAATAATCTGTACAATTAGTTTTGTCAGAAAAAAAAAATAAAAACAGTCATAAAAATATTTCAAGCTCGTTTGCTTATTAATACCGGAGGCCGATTTAGGGAAGGGCAGAGGGGGGCCTTTTTCAAAATCCTGCATACGCACCTGAATACAGCTATAAGAATAAAGGAATTTTTATTGTCCTTAATTAACCGTGTTTTTCGAGAGCGTGAAGTCTGGGGATCGATCCTGGGCGGGTAAATACCAAATTAAAGATAGTGAAATTGGTGTTGGCTGCTTCTCTGCGAAGCACGCGTCATGCAGGAATAAGTACAAAGACTGGTCTTCTCAGAATAATGTGTCTAGGTAGGGTGACATATCTTCCTCTTGACTGTTACGTTATAAACTAGCACCTAGCACCTTTAAAATCTGGCTCAGTTTGTCGGTCGATTCCAATGCATATTTATAACACACCAAGATGTTCTAGTCTTGATATGCTAGTTATATTTGCCACTGGACTTACTTCTATATTGCAATATGTTATAAAAGTCTCTTTTAAGCGCAACTCAAACTAAACGGTTGGGTCGATATTGATGACAATTTACATACTTGCATGTCGTATTTCTGATCATATGTTTCATTTTAGGGCCAAAACATCGGCTTCGAACTGCGTTTTTTTTTAATTCAAATTGGAGTATTGATAATAATTAAAAAATAAACTGAATGAGTATTTTGTTCTTGCCTAAAGGCAATGGAACTTTCCCTAATTACATCAGCCATGTCAGCAGTTATGAGCTGTTCAACTACCTAGAAAACCCGACCAGAAGCTTTTTACCATATATAGTTATATAGGAAACCATCTTTGTCATTGTGATGTACCTGAATAATCTTCTTTTCGATTGTAACTATCTCTCCATAAAATCCAAAACAACACAGGTACAACGAATTATACAACTTTTGGACGAGTTTTTTTCCTATTTAAAAGTTTCCTTTGTGACAGTCGTGTTAAATTAAAAACCCACGGTAATTCTATGTATCATTTTTTGTGATGATCATGGCGGATGTCTCATTCTGTGAGGTCTCATTATGTTTTCAGTTTTTTTACACGGAAGTATCGCCGGACATATAATATACTCGAATGGGCAATAGAACACACGGCTCTAATTTGGTAATCTTCCGTTATCTAGAAAAATTTAACCGGAATAATTATACTTACCAGGCAGCAGAATATGTTCCATCGCATATTACAAATGAATTAAACTTACTATTATGTCTAAAAATCTTGATACTTTAGTCAAACGGTATGAACGCTGTAGATTAGTCGGTTAAGGGGTACTCTCTTAACTAATGTTTAAAATAATCATTGAACTTTTGAGGTATTTTGAAACATTTTGTATCGTTGGGAAATTTTCATTATCTATATATATATATAATTGGTTAAGACAGAGGCCGAGTCATAATTTCTCAACTTCTGTTTATAATAATAATGATGATAAATACTTAAGATAATTGTGGCAATTCATTTTTTGTGGACGACCGAATATACTGTCCCTATACTGGTCTGGTAAGAATGAAAACAAACGATCCTGTTCAAGATATGTTTCATTCATATCATCTGGCTTATTGTGATGAGAGAGCCTTAATCAATTCTAAATTCTTTAATTTTAAACCTTTGTCTCTATTCATTATGTTTGCCCATTTTAGCTCACCTAGGCCTACATAGAGTGAAATAAATCCGCATCTTTCTATATCCCTGTCATAAAAGTGGTATCTGTAACTCTATGAAAGTAAACTCTTATATTAATGATTATATCAGAGTATCTAATTATTTTCACCAACGAAGCTAACTTGCAGTATGCAAATGCCAAAAAAAACTAACTGAAAAGAATGGGAAAAAATCATTCCGTATATTCTAGGCAATTTCGGAATTTATTTTGTTTTAGTTTTGAAATTAACCAATCAGATTACTCGTTACATGCGGCGTGGGATTTTTAAACGGAAGATGCTAAAGATGTCAACAAACATATTTTCCCTAGTTTACGAATAAATAATACCGTAGTACCTTTATCGTATAGATAAATAGTGTATAAAATCATAGATGTGAACAATACGTAAGTTTTAAAAGGATCAGAATAATCCAAAGGTGATAATTTGTAGAGAAAACATAATTTTGCGAGTAGTAAACGTCTGTTAGTAACTTACTAAGTTACGCCACTGAGTGTTAGTGTTACATTTTTTGTGCTTAGTCTTAGAGTCGTGCATATATATATTTCCAGATAATGACGCCCTTAAATCTAAATTATTTCAAATATACAATAAAAAGGAAAAGCAAGTTTCTTGGGACAGCATTTTTTTAATTTGTGTTTAACAGGCCTCACGCTAGCACTGTAGCAGGGGGGAAGTCGCTTTACTTGTCCATCAATTCGTTTTACACGACCATCCAAGGAAATATATAGTTGTGTGGGTGATCACAATAGTTGCTTTCAGTTGCTTTCTTCATCTGCAATTTTTAATTTTTACTAAGTCGACAAAATTTTTCATTTATTAGTAAAGAAATTCAGACATAAACGATTTATTTCTCTAGAAAAGAGGTTAAAGCATTGACTTTACATATTGGTTGTATGTTATTTCATAGAAACAACTGTTATGAAGTATTTTCTTTCACTTTCGGTACTTGCTACTTGAGAGCGTGAATCAATCCTCAATCAAACATTCTGATTTTCGGCAAAATAAGTTTGTTACTTCAGAAGAATGTGATGAAAATCGTCTTTAAATAATGTTTCATCCATTTATTGCATTAAAAGCATCATATTCCTTTCCATGTCGCTTGTCAAACATTGTTTGTTTTCGTAAATTTTTCCTTGTCTGCCATGTCTGCCATTGAAATATTTGTACAAACTATGGATTGGAGGTGGGATTCATCAGAAGTTGATCATCTATGACTGAAATCCGTCTTCTTACAATAATAACTACAGACGGATGAATTGCACAGCTGACAGAAGAATAATGATCCCAAAAGTGAAAATTACACATTCCACACACATTAACAGAATTTTGGTTAGATCTCCTTGTTAAATGTAAATATTTCCATGTAATGCATTGTTTCAATTATTGATTAAAGTTGCTCAACTTGTTAAATTTATATATCTTAAATTAGACATAAACTGAAACAAGTGTAACTTTAATGGTATTTTCAGGTATGAATTGAACAATATAAAAAAATAATTAAATAAATAGGATACATACTGACATACACGTATACAATGTATTATTGTAAATATTAAACATTGTAGTGCCGCGAGAGAACTTAGATCTCACCACTTCTATCGAAAAGAGAAGTCACTTCTCCCTATGATTTCTGAAGTAGTGTGAGCCCTGGATAATCTATTGAAATATCAAAATGTTCACTTTCTAAACTTTCCTCCCTCAGCTCATAACTAATGACCATTATTTTGCGACACTAGACACACATATGCATATAGGAAGTTGTCTAAGTGACTATTTTTCCAGATTGGACTAAATTACCGTCACTAAATAACAATAAGGTGTATTTTTGCTGTTTGTTCTTTATTAAAAAAATATTATTTTCATAGGTTTGAGCTTTAAATCAAGCACCCTAGAATAATTATGATTTTTTTTTTTAAACAGCATCATAAAAATCATTTATTAAAATTCTTCAGAAGGTCGGATTTACCAGAAGGTACTGTACATGTATATATATGTATATAAAGTGGAAATATTACACATTATATTTTATTGTCTTAAAGGTTGAGGCTTGAACAATAAGATATCTTATAAAATCATATATTGAATAAGCAGGGATTGAAGTTAAAATTTTGGCATGGTAGCCCACAGCTTTAATTTTGTAGCCCACATATATAGTCCTATACAAGAAAAGCAGAAATTTAAGTAGCCCACATCAAATTTTAGGGGCCATTGGCGAGTGGGCCCCTGCTAATTTCAAACCCTGATAAGCATTACATTGCATTACAGACACATTATATACGTGTTTTACACTTACAGTTTGAAATGGAGGAAATAATGAACATAACTTTTACATGTTTTAATAATATTTACAGGTCCAAATAAAAGTGAAACAATATGACGCTAGCAATGAGACAGAGAAGACCAAGCTGTGCTGCAGTTGCCACACCAAGGAAAGATCAGAAAGGTGATACAGAAAACAAAAGTAATGTCAAAGTAGTTGTCCGCATCAGACCAGAAAATAGTATGGAACAAAGTGGGAATCACAGAATTGTTGTCAGGGCCATGAATGAACATGTTCTTGTTTTTGACCCAAATGAGCAAAGTTCCCCAGAGTATGGATACAGACACCGGCATCATAGAAGGGACATTCGTAAACGACAAAATAAAGACTTGAAGTTTGCTTTTGATTATGTATTTGATCCAGGGTCAGCAAACCATGAAGTTTATCAACAGACAACAAAGAAAGTCTTAGATTCCTTCATGGAAGGTTACAACTGTTCAGGTAATGATTGTACATGTACTTGTAACATTAGTGGATCTCAAATTGATATAGCAATTAAATTTTTCGATTCAAAACATGATTAATACACTGCACTAAAATCATTTTTTTTCCAGACTTTTGATTGAAAGCTGGGAAATAATCAAGGCATCTAATTGTATTCTACATGCATGACATGGAAAGAATATTGAAGGAAAGGAAAAATTTAATTTTTTTATTCTCTGATAATGACTGTCATGACTGTTTACCTGTATAAAATAATATATATACCCAGTCTTTAGTTTATTTATATAGTGTTTTGTAGACTGTTGTTTGTCCTACTTTGTTTTTTGCCGTGAATTTGTTGGATCCTCATTCATTGACTTTTGAATTGCCCACCTCTTTTTTCAGGGAGAAAAATCTGAAAGCAAATATAAAATATCAACAATGGCAAGAAAGTTCCTCCAGCTCACTTTGTCAGGATGTATTAAATGTTTATCCATTGCATTAGTAATGTTAGTTTCTGTTTTTGTTATTATAAGTTTTATACGAAACTAAACGACTTAATAGTTGGATAACTTGGATAATATAACCAGTCTTGTTTTATTTACTTCAGTTTTTGCCTATGGAGCAACAGGTGCTGGGAAGACTCATACTATGTTGGGAAACCCGACGATGCCAGGAGTTATGTATCTAACTATGATGGATTTATATAACAGGATTGGTGCTGTGGAAGGACAAAAGACTTGTGATATTGCTGTTTCTTATCTTGAGGTAAAATGAGCTTCAGTGTTTACATGTATGTAGCTTTTTGTTTAATTGCAAAATATCATTTTATTTGGAGAATGAATGTTACCATGGTTACCTAAACCAGTTCGATTCAGAAAAATATGATGTTGATGGTATAGAACTACACATTAGGCAACACATATGATAGCCAATATAGGCAGCTTAGAGTATTTATATATAGAAAATGAAAGGATATGGAGTAAATGTACATGGGACAAAATCGCACACAATACATAGAAAACATAGAAAATTATCAATGAGCAGGGCTTTTATTCCTGTTCTTCATCTTGACAGTTGATGTAGGGTCTTCAACAATGAACAAATCATTCATACCTACAACAAGGTCAAGACGACCCCTAGCGTTGACTTAAGCGGTACTATTGATAAAAATAAACCACAGTTCACCTTCTAGCTCCCCACCCGCCTCAGAGTGCCAACATACATTTTTTGTTGCAATGTTACATCAATAGATCAGATCATCATAGCTAGTAATCAAAGTTGTTGTTTCTGTTTTGTCACTACATAAATAAATATGTTGTTTTATATATTACAGGTTTACAATGAACAGATCAGAGATTTATTAATGGGAGGTAAAACTTTACCTGTTCGTGAAGATGCAAACAATGGAGTTGTTATTCCTGGTTTGTCATTGCATAAGGTAAAAACTGTTGTACAAACTGAAAAATGACAACTCATTATAGATATGAATGAAAGGGGACAATAAAAGTTATGTTATGAATTTTATAGAAAACTTAATATGAATATCAAAACAAATCTCAGAACATGTGAAACCATGGAAGTAAAATGAGAATGAATAATAGCAATTAATAAGAATGTATTGATGACCTGCAGAACTCTGTACTAAAGTCATAGGATTTATCCAATTGTTGTAACATTTTGATAAGAACCCTTTTGTTACTACATGTATCTGTGATACCATGGTTGTCAAAAGGCAACTGGAATATGTTATCAGTCAAATGATTTAACGGTGTCTGGTAAATAAAGCGCACCTGTGGGAAATCCCTTGTTTATTAAAAACAAGGTGTCGCTGTTATTAGACAACTTCTACCTTTAAAAAAAATAGAAAATCGGTTGAGATTTGTTAAAACTTCCGTATCACGGCGTATGTACAACATTTTAACATGGGAAGTTGTATTTTTATTTGTTTTTGTTGTTTGTTTAAACTGATCTTAAACTATTTGTTGAAGTGGGTCTAGAGTAAAACAGGTAATAACAAAGAAGCAATTAGTTTTCACATGATGTTTTACCAAAGTTGTCAACATATTTTTTATCCTTAATTCCTTGAAAAAAAAACATTTGTATTAGGTTTTGGTATTTCAAATATTTTGGCCTTGGGTATCACTGATGAGACATTGATTGCAGAAATGCCCATTTGGTACAATAAATATGTACCGTTAATGTAATTCTTGTTAAAGGATGTAGATGAGGTTATTATTTATACATGTGTCCATATACTTTCAGCCAAAAGATGCAGATGAGCTATTACACATGTTACACTATGGAAATAAAAACAGAACACAACATCCAACTGATGCTAATGCAGAATCATCACGATCACATGCTGTTTTTCAGGTAACTATTCCTAAAACATTTTTTCATCTGAAAATTCCAAAGGTTATCAGATAATTTGTAGACGTGCAATTTTTTTTGGTGAAAAAACAAATTTGGGGCAGTGTTCTCCCCAGACATTTCATTTAGCATCCTGGTAAACAGGAAAATTTGAATTACCATCTTGTTTCTAAAGATTATAGCATCACATCCATAACATTATCTATCAAAAAAAACAATTCAGATAGCATCACATTCAAGAAATATAGCATCACGTTAACATGATGCTAAAAGGCCCTGGGTAGAACACTGTTGGGTAAAAAGATGACAAATGTTGAGAAGTATTTTTTGTAACCACAAAATCTCCAAAATATAAGTAGGATAGGAACATAATATTGTATATTTGTTGTGTTTCATATGTAGAAGTGCATATCATTTTTTTGGTGAGAATATGAAAAAATATTTGCTCTATTTAAACTTTGCTTAAAATAACAATTTTTGGAAAACATCAAAATGGTCACCAAAATACAAAAACATTAGAATTGCAGTGATTTCAAAGGATAGAAAATGATATCCTGAATAAATTCTTTGTGCCAAAATTTATTGTTGGCCACCATTTTCAAAATGCCAGTTTTAAGAGTAACACATTAGAATTCAACATGCTCATTAGAAAATAATTAGGCACTTACTTTCATATTTTGAACTTGAAACTTAGTTTTAAAAGATGTATGCCAAGTTAAGGTTTTGTCCCAGATTGCGCAGTTCACTGGTCAATTTAAAAGTTTAGGTTTAAGGGATGTTGTCGCATTAACTTGTTACTCAGTAAACATATTTATTATATTGGAAACTTTTTGAAATATAAGCCTAATTTGGGTTTTGACAAAGAATTCATGGTTCACTAAACATGGAAATGTGATAATGGGAGTGGGGCATGGTGTGCTATGGACAAATATTCTGGTTATAAAGAAATTTATAGGCAGAGAGAGCATTTATTTATTTAGAAGTACAATCACTGATTCCAAAGGTTAATCTTTAATTATTTCAAGGGAAGATTGTGTTGTGGAAACTAAGTATGCTGTTTAGTTCTAATTGTTGTTGTACAAACATACAGAAAATGATATATACCCTGATACATTTATATATTTAAGTTTGCAGTTTTCAATTAAATTTTTACTGACTATTTGAGCATCCACAACTTTAGACACCGAAACTAACTTATTTGTATTTGTTTATCTATATTGTAGGTTTTTGTCAGACAGAAAGACAGGACAGCCAACATTTCAGCTGAGGTCAAAGTTGCTAAACTTTGCCTTGTAGATTTAGCAGGATCAGAAAGAGCTACTGTTACTAAAAATAGAGGAAAGAGGTTCAGGGAGGGAGCTAATATTAACAGATCTTTATTGGCCTTGGGAAATGTTATTAATGCGTTAGCAGATCCAAAGGTTTGTTTATAAACATGATAAAGAGAATCTTACTTTATATATGAATAAAAGGAGATGTTGGGTATACTTCAATAAGACAGTCAGTGAATGTTTCTAAGATTAGAAATTGGAAGATTTAGTACCAATATCACACATGAATATGTGGGAAGAAGATTTAGAAAAAGGTACTAACAATAGTTCCTGACAAGTCTTTGGTAAAGAGACTGTTATGATGGACTAGTTTTAGAATGAGAGATAATTTCATTGCAGTCAAAATCATGTTAATGTTGCTTAAATACTGGCTTGATTAAATGCTTTTAATATTTGGGTCAGTGTCTGTTTGTGGATCAAACACACTTTTCTCAGGTTCTACTTACACAGAATGACTGCATATTTGGTCAGGAGTTTGACAGTGATAGAGTTGTAAATTTTGATAACTTTTTGGGATGAGTCAGAAATCAACTTCCTGTTGGCTGATACAGTCAAATCTGTATTTAGCAGTCACTATTGGGAAGTATCAAAAGTGACCGCTCAAGAGAGGTGACCTTTGAAACGAGGTCCAAAAAATTCCGATTCAGACATCGCCTTTGGCCAGGATGGGGTCAAATTGTTTTTGTGTTTTCAATCGGTAGAGTTATCGTAGTTGTGAGCAGTGAAATAAAAAATGGACGACGCTGTAAATTTTAAGAAAATATCGAAATATGCTGATACTGTTTTCAAAGGAAACTTAAAAGATTGGAACAAGGCGAATTCAAAATTCACCTTCTATTGCATGATCTTGGTTGCAAATGGGTTTTGATTTTCTTATTGACTTCGATATTGACAACATATATTTTTCGTCATGATGATTTTTTGTAGTTAAAAACATTTAAATGACCCGTTGTTAAAAGATGAAATGACGATTTCGTTCAAAAGTAAGGTAACCGCATTAGACAGGTGACAGCTGAAATGACTTAAATTATTTATAGAGAAAACGTTTGGGAGGGTCTGAAAGTTGACTGTAGTTTGAAATAATTCATAATAGTTCATAATATTTATTGAATTAGAATTAACTGACATATATTTTATGTGTTTTCCGATTTTGCACTTTCTCAAAATATTATAAAAACAAGGTATGGGGTAAATGGTACATGTAATGCTATAACAATCCAACAATTCAAATTCACAAGAAATTCAACACAAGCTATTTTCAACAACATTGTAGTTATTTTATAGATATATTAACTATTTTCATTTTCAGTATAAAGGTCATGTACCCTACAGGGATAGTAAACTTACACGACTATTAAAAGATTCACTTGGTGGTAATTGTAAGACTGTTATGATAGCTGCAGTAAGGTAGGTTCATGTTTCCATGGATACTATAAATAAGGAGATGTGGTATCACTGCCAATGGGCGACTATCCAGCAAAGTCCAAATATGTGGATTTAGGCAACCAAAGGTCACTATATGGCCTTTAACCATGAGAAAAACCCTTATAGTATAGTCAGCTATAATAGGCACTATCATGACAAAATTCAAACAATTCAAATAAAAAGAGAACAAGATTCTGATTATGGCAGTATTTGATGATATGATAAAAATAGCTGCAATAGACAACTTTCAAGTTTGTGCATTTTCCTGCACATTTCCTATGTCACAAGGGTTATGTTTTTACATCACATCAAGAACCAATTTATTGTTGATATCATTTATCCCTATTAACCTCAGGTCAAATGTTGTAATTCATTCATAATAGTAACCATGGTAACTGGAGATTTGTCTATAGTATTAGATAGGGTCATTTTATATTGTATTGTCATATGTTGGACATTTACAAAGATGTATTTAATGTTAGAAATATAGGTTAACGCATTACTGATGACAAACAACTGATTGAACCCCAAAGCAACATATATCACTTTTGTAAGTCAGAAAAAGCAAAATGATTGATTGGAAAGCAACTTCTTTGCCCTAGTTACCCAGGGGCGAGAACCCTGATAAATGCCTGCAATTTTCCAGTTTACTTTGTCAAACTACTGTGAAAGTACTTTTATACCAATTTTCGTGGATGACTTTATCCACGAATTTAAGTGTCCAACGAAATTTAACAACTGTCGTCCAAATCAAGACATGAAAAGATTCCCATGTAGGTTTGACAACCGATATGATCTAGAGAATACATTGAATATCAGCAAATCTGAGACTACTATAAAAGTACAATGAAGTCTCAGGACAAATGCACTATGAACTACAACTGCAGGCAGGATTATACCCATTTATTCTTTAAAACCTAATCTGTACTTCTGATCTTTTAATTCTCATAAAAAATATTTTTGATCGATAAAAGTCAGATTTGCAGTGATGATATGCTATGATAAAGTGTTCATTTTATATCCTCATAATTCTTGTATGGGAAATAACAATTTCATGCTGGACTTGCTTTTGATATGAATTAATTTTACAATTAAATGTACATTTATAGCACTTGTTTATGTAACTGTTTTCTTTAAGTGACATGTTTATGGCCTAATTAACACCTTTGATGGTCTTTAATCTGTTGATCACTCGATCTCAGGTTAGTTAATGTCATCACTACACAGGTGCATCAATTTAAATGTTTTACTTTGCAATTTCCTTCAATCAAGACAATTTGTAATCTGCGTTTCTAATGGCTTCAATTCTACACTATATTTGTTTTGTTTTTTTTAGAAAACTAAAATCCAGGAACATGTAACTCCTACTCTAACAACGAAAATTGATACCCACGAATTAAAGAACTTTCACAGTAATGAAATAAGAAAGACGAAGGCCTAGATTTCTTTTCAAATGCACAAATCATGAATAAGAAAATCTGAATGTTTTCAAAAATTATTATGACTTGATACAAACAACTATGTGGTGTTTCTACTATTTTATAGAGAAACTTCTACCAACAAGGCAACATTAACAGATAACTTGGTAAATAACTGATATCATTGGAAAGGGTAATAGTCATGATAGTTTTTGTTGTGAATAAAAACAGTTTATAGATTATCCTTTGTTATTAACAATTTATTTTTGATATTTCAGTCCATCTGGTCATACCTATGAAGATACTTACAACACATTAAAATATGCAGACAGAGCAAAGAATATTCAGTCTACGGTTAGTGACTATAAATCTAGGCTCTCAGTCATAAAACTTTACTCAGTACTCGGAGTACAAAATTATGCTCAAAACACCAAATCCACGATTTTGATTGGTTGATTTCTGAGTGAGTACGAAAATCGTGCTGGAAAGTTTTATGACTGTAAGGCCTGATGTAGTATTTGTATGCTATAAGATTGTTGTCTCCTTATGATACTTATAAGTTAAAAAAATGAAATGCCATTTACCTCACAGTTAATTTTGATGTGATCATCCCTACTGTACATTCAAAAAATTGAAAACAACATGTTTAATAATTTCATGCGTCCGAAGCGCTTTTCTGGATTTACCTTCACCAGGAGCGCTCAAAGCCAAACATTTGAAATCCTAGGGATGTATAAGTACCGAAACAGTTGAAGAGCTATATGACAAAAATACAAAAAACAAATAGCCATATTCATCTAAGGTCAACTGTGCCTGAGGGAGTTGAAACCTTAGTTCCTTTATAATTTCAAAATTTATAAACGGACAATTTTAGAAAGGTTTGTTATAAATCATGTCAGTACCGAAGTACTGACTACTGAGCTGATGATACAAATGAGATCAATTTCTTTAAAAGATAAAGATGACAGTTGAGATTATAAAACTTAAAGATAGAGATGACAGTTGAGATTATAAAACTTAAAGGTAGAGATGACAGTTGATATTATAAAACTTAACAATTGATGCATCTTCTACATAACATTTTAATATGAAAACAATATACATGCTTTGTTGGAATTGTGTAAACTTTATTTGAACAAGCTAAGAAAAAAGTGAGGCTTAACAAACTTTTTGTCTTGTATGCACATTATTGTGTATTAAAATTCTTATGAAGAGAATGGTCACATTGACTTGAGATGTGAATAAAAATAAATGGTGTCACTGGCAGACCTTTTTGGAAAATCACCGCGATTTTTGTAAAAACTCTGGTGTTTTTTGGCTAATCTCCGCGAAACGGATAATAATTCGAGGTTCATCGTAAATTTGCTGTATTACAGGATATTTTGCATGTTATCCGGAGATTTTCCGTGTCGGCGGGAATTAGCCGTTTGTCCGATAAAACTGGTGTGTATTGAGTCATTGATGGAACCACTAATGCGTGAGCGACGGTTATTAATAGGTCGTTGTATAATCCGTTATGCGTGAGCGACGGTTATTAATAGATCCTTGTAGTGTGGTACAAATTATGATATATAGATGTTTACAGAATTAAAAACAAAGTAACTATAATCGTTTGAGATATAAGGAATTTTCAAAAATTTATCATATAATGTTTCTGTAAATTTAGAGAGAAACAGATTATATATATCTGGGGATTAGATGGTTACTTTTTTTAATTATATGTCCGAGGCCGCAGATCATTTAATTGCTTCTAGAACCGTTTATTGAAACAAAAATAAAATCAATATCATAGCAGCTACGTAGCGGCTATGTAGTTGCTATCAATATCTATGTAGCAGCTAATCTATAGCTACATGTTCAATAGTAAAAATCTACATAGCACTACGTAGCCGCTACGATATTGAACGCAACCCTGGTAATACATAGACCGTCGTTGCATAATATGTATATGTATTTACACAAAATGCAGTGCATTCAAACTCGATTTCGCAAACTCGTGGGTTGTCTTTTTAGGCAAAAAAGTTCAATTTAAAAGATATAAAAGTTGCGTACATGTATACGTCAACGCCTGTCTTGTAAACTAATCTGTTACACTTTGAAATGTAAATAAGTTCTATTTAAAAGATTGGACGGTTATTTCACATGAATAAAAGTTCTTCTGATCATTTTTGTTTTACAATGATTTTTGAAAGTGCGATCTTATAAAAACTAAGTTTGTCCGGACTTGCATGGAATATTTGCCACTGGAAGTTAAGCAACCAACAATTAATCATCTTAGAATAAAATAAATATGCCTGAGCGATAATATTCTTAAATTTTTTAATGTGAAACACAGTTTCTTCATTTATTAGAAATCACTTTCAGGTCTAATGGTAAAGTGAATATACATTCCGGGATGAGATTAATTTACTATAATTGCCAAAGAAAAAGAAATGATATTACGTTTCTTTTAATTAAAAATTAGACTGCAACAAATGTAGATCGAACATTTTTAATAATGAAATAATGCACGTCAAAAATATCTGTAATCATCTTGATCTTAAATTTAACTTCGCTCACAATAGAGATGTTAAAAATAGATTTTATCAATTGTGTCACTGCACGAGATTTTCCAACGGCGGGAAATATCATGTAGCTATAAACACAGGTGATGTTACTGACCGATTGTGGAATGTCAATTTAGGGTTAAATTTGATGTGTAATGATTGACATTATTGTGCGCATTAGGTTGAAGCTCTAGAAGGTTCATTTCAATTGATAACCAAAATTATAAAATCAAGTTTTTTTTTCAAATCAACGTTTAAAGGGAAAGTCCGCGATTTTTTACTTTTCATCTAAATATGTTCATCTTAACATAAAAAACACATTCACAAAGTTTTAAATTTATATTCTTTCTAATAACGGAGAAAATCAAGTATTTGTAACTTTTTTGGTTGACCTACGTCAATGGGTTGTGACGTTTTAACCTGATTTGTTGAATCATGGGAAAAAATAAAATCGGTTAAAGTCTTAATTGCTTATCAGAATTTTACGTAATTAAAAGCGCACAGATGACCGTTGGTCGTAGTTAATAACCACAATATAAGAATGAAAGAAAATGAATATGTGTGTACCGTTTTGTATTGATTGAATAAAACTTCCTATATAAAATTATCTAAATATGAATATTTTCGAATTAATTTCATAAATTATTGTTGAGATTTTTTCATAAAATATCTGTTGAACATTTTGACTGATATTGAACTGAAAATATTTTAAGTTATATTTACCGTTATAACTTTGATAACCATTTCAATGCAAAATATTTGTGAACAGAGTGTGTATATTATTTTGTAAAGTCATTGTTTATTTCTCGATTTGAGAAGAATTCGTTTGTACTTTACCTTGCAGCAATTTAGCCTCAGGCGTACACAAGTGTTAATATTGTCATTTTGAATGGATTAACAGAAAGAGTATAGCGTGTTTAATACATTTAATACACCAAGATGAAATACCCGATGACAATAGAGAAATAATAATTAAATTGTATAAATTAATTGAAAATTAATATTCAATTTTTTAATTCCGGAAGTGTTTACAATATTAAAATGGAACAACTTTCGATTACGTTCTATGCAATTACCATAATTTGAAAATTAAAATATGAAGTTAAAAGAATAGTACTATTAATCTTAAAAAATAAATGTTACATTTCCCAATTAATAATCATTGCACATCTTTTTAATTTACTTTACCGGAATTCTTTAATTTGTATTTAAATCTGGCGATGTTTAAATGCTAACAATCGTAAAACTAGCGCAATTTTAAAGTTTTTAATTGAAAAAAATACAACAGTACAACATGCATGATTTTTTTTAATTTTCTTTTTAACATTTCATTCTTACATAATTAAATTCATTTGACAATCACTTAAACCAATTATTTGTGAAAAGAATACCAATTATCGTTTATTTCATTAATGGATATACATACATATAAATCTAAGCTAATACATTATTTTGTTTTAGGATTTTTTTGAGGATAGCCGTCATTAAACCAAATTAGTAATACAGTAGTTGTAATTAAAGGGCATATCTTAGTAATGTATAACTGATATTGACGATTTAAGAATAGTTCGTCCCAACCTCGTTGTTCTTGAAACAATCTTTTACTAGTATACTTGTAAGTTTCCTGACGTATAAGCGCCATTGAGGATGAGCTCCAGAGAAAGCAGACTAGTAGCGTTTCTTTAATTTGTTTGTTGGGGCAGGAGAGGCCATGCAACCACTTACAGATAAATAAGCGTATGTTGTCAACACTATCAGAAAGAGTTCCCATTGTCGGATGGGGTATATGAAGGCTTCCAAGAATGAACAAGTGACATGTCTGACTCTGAACAGTTAGTGAACAGACGTAACAATGATCTATAGACATCGACCGCTTGTTCTTGATATTTGAAACTGCATGCATATATACGTTTATGAGAGTGATTATTTATCTTGTGTCTGACGAAAACTAAATGCCTGCATGGTTATATCTTGTCATACGTTTGTATTGGTTTGGTGGGTGTTCACTCAAAATCGTAATTCAAAAATTGTGTTTGTGAGATGTAGATTCACTTCAATACCGAATTTCGTCTATATATTTTACAAGTGTATACCACGGAGAAGCTCTGAAGGTATATTATTCCCATTTTGTTTGGGTGTGAACCATCGATGTTTACAGCAATATGTAATGAATAAGATGATGATGGTAGAAAGAACTATGAGCGTCATGTGGCAAATATTACATGCATGTCGAACCATGAGTAGTCAATCTGTATGAAAAGATTTCCAATACAACTATATTGAGTAGGAATTTTTACATGCTTTACTCTCGTACTAGTATTACAGGGTTCTTGTGTCGTTTAACTCGTTTTATTTAAAGATGTATGAAAGGTTCTATATATATATATATATATATATATATATATCTTAAATGTAACAATAATCAAACGCCTATAGGCAATCACTAAAATGGTATGAAGTTTTTATACAGATTTATTCTTATTTACACAATCATTAACATGTGATTTTGTATAACTAAAAATATCAAAGCGAGCAATAACTTTGTCAAGCAAACATTTTTTTTCACTATGCCTCTCTTTATCTCCGCTCCTTTACAATAACTATTTTGCTTTTCGTCGATCGTTCTCTATATTGTTCTCTATTTGTTTTTTTTTTTTCACTATGCTACTCTATCTCCGCATCTTTACAATGACTATTTCCCCTGACGTCCAAATCCTTATAAAGATAAGGACATTAATAAAGATAGGAACATTAGACATAGAAGGGGTTCTCTTATCTTCAGTGAATTAATATTGATAGTGACTATAA